AAATAAATAAAATCTTTAAAAATAAAAATAAAATAAATGAATAAAAATAAAAATACTTTAAAAAAAATTGATGAAAGTTTGTTATATTATTTCAACTTCATTGTTCCCTTCCAGCAAGTAGGGTTTGGGGGTGGTGGGAGAGGAGTGAAATGAAGGTACAGAATGACTGCACATAAGCCTCCACTCCTGATAAGGCAGTAGACTGAGATGAGAAGTACTTCCCACCTTAGCCAAGGATCATAGCTTGTAGTCACATATTCTGCTTCCAATAGCAATGTGTGAAATTTAAGGCGCCTGGATGGCTCAGTCGGTTAGGTGTCTACCTTCGGCACAGGTCATGATTCCAGAGTCCTGGGATCGAGTTCCATATCAGGCTCCCTGCTCAACTCCCTGTTGAGCCCTCCCCTCCCTGCCCTTCCCCTGGCTCATGCATGTTCTCTCTCTCAAATAAATAAAATCTTTAAAAAAAGGGGGGGGATGTATGGAATTTAAACATCACCATTTTAATCAATTTCAGACCTCATTGAATGCACAAATGAATAAATAACATTCAAGTACCCTGCTCAGTCTGAAATCTCCCATACAGCATTAGGCGCATACCTAGTCAGGTTATTATGATAGTTAAGATTGCTCAGGTTGAAAAGAATGGAGAACAAAAAATTTTAATGATCTTCAAAGGTGTTAGTAAAAGTAAGTCTTTTTTTTCCCCCCCAAGAGTTAAGAGGCTTAACCAACTGGACCACCCAGGCACCCCAAAAATGAACAAGTCTTAATGTTCACAGGAATAAATGAATTTAAATCACACCAAAACAATCTGGACAATTTAACAATCTGGATAAATTTAATGCAAAAGATAACACATATGAAATCTCCATTCTTCAAAACTTGACAAAAGAGGACCATTTGTTCTCCCCCCCCCCTTTTTAAGTATAGTTGATTCACAATGTCACATTAGTTTTAGGTGTACACCATAGTGATCTGACAACTCTGTATGTTATGCTATGCTCACCACAAGTGTAGCTACCATCTATCACCATACAACACTATTACAATACCACTGACTATATTCTCTATGCTGTACCTTTTCTTCCTGTGACTTATTCATTCCATAACTGGAAGCCTGTACCTCTCACTCACATTCACCCATTCTGCCCATCCCTCCTTCTCCCTCTGGAAGCCATCAGTTTGTTCTCTGTATTTATGGGTCTGTTTCTGCTTTTTGTTTGTTCATTTATTTTTTTTTACACTCCACATATAAATGAAATCATATAGTATTTGTCTTTCTCTGTATGACTTATTTCACTTAGCATAGTACCTTCTAGGTCCCCCCATATTGTTGCAAACAGGAAGATCTCATTCTTTTTAATGGCTGAGTAACATTCCATTACACACACACACACACACACACACACACACACACACACAATCTCCTTTATCCATTCATGAGTGGATGGACACTTGGGTTGCTTCCATATCATGGCTATTGTAAATAATGCTACAATATGGGGCGCCTGGGTGGCTCAGTCATTAAGCGTCTGCCTTCGGCTCAGGTCATGATCCCAGGGTCCTGCGATCAAGCCCTGCATTGGGCTCCCTGCTCAGCGGGAAGCCTGCTTCTCCCTCTCCCACTCCCCCTGCTTGTGTTCCCTCTCTCGCCGTGTCTCTCTCTGTCAAATAAATAAATCTTTTTTAAAAAAAAATGCTGCAATAAGCATTGGGGAGAGTATATTTTGTCAAGTCAGTGTTTTCACTTTCTTTGTGTAAATACCCTGTAGTGGAATTACTGGATCACATGGTATTTCTATTTTTAATTTTTTGAGGAACCTGCAAACTGTTTTCCATAGCAGCTGCAATAAATGTAAATTAGTGCACCAACAGTTCACGAGGGTTCCTTTATCTCCACATCCTCACCAGCCAGGCTCCCTTATTTCTTATCTTTTTAATTTTAGCCATTCTGACAGATGGGAGGTGATATCTCATTGTGGTTTTGGTCTGCATTTCCCTGATGATTAGTGATGTTGAGCACCTTTTCATGTGTCTGTTTGCCATCTGTGTCTTCTTTGGAGATGACCATTTGTTCTTGATTAGTTCAGATGCAGATCTCTGAGAGGGCAGATTTAGCATAATGTGCCTATGATAATGCTAAATATCGGAATCACCTGAATGCAATTTAAATTTAAACCTCTCCCTTCATAATTTATGAAAAAGATGGAACTCCAGAGTAATGGAGAAAGGATGGTCTTTTCAATAAACAGTGTTGAGTTGATGGAAGAGCCTTACAGAATAAGCAACCACCCCCGGCCCCCACCACACACACACAGAAGAAACATCCATTTCCAATTCATTATAGATCTAAATGTAAGACGTAAAACAAAGCTTTTGGAATATAAGCAAGTATCTTCATGACTTAAGGATAAAGATTTCTTAAAGTGGATACATAAAGCAACAACCAAAAAAGAAAAGACTGAAAAACTGGACTACATTTAAATTTAGAACTTCTATCTATCAAAAGACACTATTAAGAAAATAAAAAAACTATAGTTGGGGGACAAAATATTTACCACATATACAACCAAGGGCTGATAATTAAAATATATAAGAAACTTCAGGGGGGCCTGGGTGGCTCAGTGGGTTAAGCGTCTGCCTTCGGCTCAGGTCATGATCCCAGGGTCCCGGGATTGAGCCCCGACTCGGGCTCCCTGCTCAATGGGAAGTCTGTTTCTCCCTCTGCCTGCCGCTCTGCCTACTTGTGCTCTCTGTCAAATGAATAAATAAAATTTAAAAAAATCATAATAAATAAAATATATAAAAAACTTCAAATCAGCAAGAAAGACAACCCAAAAGAAAAACAGAGATCTGAACGAGCACTTCAGTATAGGAACGAGCACTTCAGTATAGAAGATATCCAATGGTCAATAAACTTATGAACCAACGCTCAACCTAATTATCAGGAATATTAAAACCATAAGGTATTACTATATGCCACCAAAATAGATAAAATTAAAAAGATTGACAATATCAAGTGTTGGCAAACATGTGAAACAACTGAACACTCAGATACTGCTGGTTTGAATGTAAATCGGTACTTTAGAAAACTGGCATTAAATGTGGAAGTTGAATATAGACAAATGCTATGACCCAGGAATTTCAACACTGTATTACTAACCAACTGAAAAGCATACCCATGTGCACCAAAATATACATAGGCCTGTTCTCAGCAGCCTTTCTCCTTTAACAAGTCAGAAACTAGAAACAACCCAAATGTCCACCATAGGCAGGAAGAATAAGGAATTCGATAGGGGGAAAAAAAAACAACTATTACTATATACAAAGATATGTATGAATCTACAGACAGAATGTTGGGCGAAACCAGACACAAAAATATAAATAGTATCACTTAGATAAAATTCAAACACAGGCAAATTTAGTCACTGGTGTTAGAAGTCAATACAGTGGTTACCTTTGGGGAGAAAAAGGGACCTACTAGAGGGGGAACAAGGGAAGTTTTGGGGGTGCTGACAACATTCTATTTATTGACCTGAGTAGTGATTACACAGATATACTCTCTTTGAAATAATTCAGAGCTGTATACACTTTTGATTTGTGCATTCTTCTATATGCATATTACACTTCACTTTAGAAGTTAAAAAGAAAACAAACAAACCAAAACACCTCACTACAGATGATTCCCTAGGTATCACGTTCACGGCCTTCCGCATTAGGTAACGAAAACACCTTTTAGGAAACTGGAGGCGGGTACTTCGTAAGCAAAGCACGGAGTAATGGAAAGAGGACTGACTAGAAATCCGGAAACCCTGGCCCTGACACATACAGCTGTGACATTAAATCTTTACACTTCTCTAGATCTCGGCTTTCTCGCCTCCGCTCATAAAATGGGTGTTGGAAATGAAGGCTTCCAAGGTTCCTCCCAGCTCTGGAGCCTGAGGACCGCATCAGTTTTCGCCATAACCAGCTCCGACGGTGGGCTGGGCCCAGGCATGCCCCTGCTCCGCCCGGCCAACTCCGGTTTCTCACTTGGCGCAGAGGGGCCTATAAGCCGGCTGCCGGGCCACGGGCCCGGTCCGGTTAATGCGGGGACGCACCGGGACGCTGATAGGGGCCAGGTCTACGCCTCACACACTCACCTCGGTCCACAGCCCTTCTCACTCGGGCGGGTTGCGCGTTCCGACTTCTGTCCGCTGGTCTGGTCCGTGGCCGACCCCGGACGGACTTCAAATGCCCTCCCTTGCTGCCAACTTCTCTATTCTCTTGCTCTGCACACAACGCATGCGAGTTTTAGCTCCAAACTACGCCCCTCACGGCGCGTCAACTCTCCTCAGACCAGAGTCTC